GGGCGGGGCGGGGCGACCGCCACCCCCGGAAACTCAGCCGCGGCCTGAGAGTTCTTCTCTTCCTAAGCCTCTGGAAACTCACGACGGCTTTGAATATAGAAATGGAATTCAAAGGGGGAAAAACAAAAACCAAGAAAGATGCAAGAAACAATTTTTAAAAGGATAGCGAGGGAAAAAAATGTATATCAAATGGTCAATACCTCCAAAACGTCTTTTCTTTACCCCGCCCCCCATCAGTCAGGGAGGGTTTCAGCTGCAGGGCTCCGAGGTACACTTGCCAGGAGGGCGTGGCTTATAGCTGGGAGCGCTCACGCGGAGGGGCAGTACCCGTCACAGCCGGTGAGTCCCTTGACTGTGCATTGATCGTGAAGCATCCCAGAGTCGATGACGAACGTCTGGATTATCCCCTAGACGTGTCTGTGGCGACAGCACCCCCCCCCCATATTCTATGAGGTGTTTCCAGCCGCGGGCAGCCCCACCTCTGGTCCCTGTTGCCCGCCAAATGCTTTGGTCTTCGTGGATCAGGCCACAAAGCATCCCCCCTGAGCAGTCCAAGAGAAAGCCCACCCAGGGTAGCAGCACAGACGATGCACTTTGTTTTCCTGCACTATTTCCTTACTTGACCAGGAATCCCTGGCCAACAGGAACTTCCCCGGCAGGTGAATGCAGACCCGGGGTCTGCAGGCGGCCCTGGACAGACCGTCCTCCACGCCGGCCCATCTGGTCTGTACCTCCTCGCCTGCCAGCCCTCCGCACAGCCCGGAAGCCATAGGCGCCGACAATTAGGACATCCCCCTGGGGGAGGGCTCCTTCCAGTCTAGAAGGGAGACTGGGGGGCTGGCACCCTGTGATTCCGAGGGTGCACACCTGTGTCTTTCATGTGTCTTTCTGGTTAGTGTCAGCTATTGGGATCCTGACAGTGATGCACCGATTTTCACTAATTCTTCCTACAGGCGGATGTTTCGGACCCCCGCCCTTGTTTTCACAGATGTGTTTTACATCAGCAACATGACAAAGCCATATAATAAGGCATAGTTGTGTGAAAGTATCGCCCTTTAACAGCAAGAAAAGTAACACGTGCTTCAGAGGGAAAGGCAGTGGGAGGGAAGACAGTCATGGCAGTGAGTGAGCCACATTCAGTTTGTTCTGTTGTAATCTCAGCCTTGTCACTGATACAGTGAAAACAAAATGTTCTTGCTGTGAATGCAGTGAAACAGAAACGTTTTGGAATACCTTCGTTAAACAGGCAACTTCAATCTATAATCAAAACGTATCTCAGTGGTATAGTGAAGACTTCTTGGCAGTGACAATAACAACCTAATTAAATGTGTTCTCCTTTGCAAGGGTGTGAACGTCAGGAGAGTTTAGTTTTTTTGTTCCAGGATTGGTTTCTTTTCCTGAGCAAGGATGGTTTACAGAAACTGGCAGCTTCTGTACCGTTAGTCTACTCCACAGAAATAGGGTCGGGTCACAGGCATCTCCTGTGGCTTCTTGGAAGAGTGATGTGGGAAGAATGAAGAGTTTCCATCGTGACAGTATCCCACTTTGAGAGTTTTGCTTCCAGATCTGTGAGAAGGGATGGGTAAATTTGTCTAGCACATTGGCTTATGTCTGAGCAGACGTGGCCAAGACACTTTTCTTCCTGACTCCCTGAAAGAACATAATCTCTTCCAGTGCTGAGTGAGTAATGAGTTCAGCAGCATTGCTGTGGGGTGAGCAGTCCTCCGGCCGCTCTGTTCCTCCCCAGAGCCTCCAAGCTCTGACCTTCTGATGCCCATGTCACTGATGTTTCTTTAGTGGCCTCCTTCTGGATTTCTCTCCCTGTGTCCTTATTTCCAGGACAGCCCCCTCATGAGAACGTGAGTAGAGGAAAATGTGCTGGGGGTCGATGTAAATATTCAAGTTCAAAAGCCCTAGAAAACATTTCAAGGATTTTAAAATACACTTTGTTGTAACACATGGACTTTTAGAAAGGACTTTCAGTCTCATTGAGGCTATAAGAAAGACTGAAAAGCTTAAAGAAAGTTTAATGAAAACTTTTGGATTTATCACAGCCTTAAAGACTCTTGGGAATCGGGGTCTGCTAAACATTGAGGAAAATGTGGTACACATTAATATTCGTGTGGGCTGGGTGTGCTTCTGTTTGAAAGTTCCCATTGTTCAGCTGCTCAGAAGTAGCAGGCAGATGTAGTGGACGTGATGACCACCTCTAGTTTGAGTCAGGTTGGTCCTATGTGGCAGAGTTTTGCCAGATGTCGACTAAATCCTCAGATGCTATGTTTGCTGAATAAACACACAGCCCTTGCGCAGAGATGTTAACAGAAAGCAGTGCCCACTGCATTCTTCCCAGCTCCGCCCCTTCCAAACCCTCCACCCTGTTCCAGGACCAGATGCTCGTAAACTGAAGCTATTCAGTGTCCCTTTTTTCACTCTCAGGGTGGACAAAGGTCACATTGCTTTACATCTCAAGATAACGTCACTTCATCTTTTCTTGTTGTTGTTGTTACAATACAACAGTGTTGACCAGGAGGGACAACTCACCTGCAACCAGGTTCACCCAGCTTGGTTCCCCAGCTCCTTCCACCAGGTACAGGGTGAGGTCTGACAGGTCCTCATGGTCTCCGGGGAACACTAGTGCTGGCCCCGTGTCTCACCTCCCCTGCGTCCTTACAGGGGGCAGCTCAGAGCTGTGTGTAAGCCTCGTGCAACTTCAGGGCTGAGAACTGAGATGGGTGAGCAAGCGGCTTTTTCCCCCTTTCAGGTTCGGAGGGGCTTTCCTCGTCTGCTGGACACAGAGCTCAAAACCCTCAGTCACAGCCCTCCCCACGTGTCCCAGGCCCTCGGCCGGTCGGCCAGACACTTCATCAGTTCTGGACTCTCCAGTCCTCTCCTGCCATTGTAGCCTCTGGACAAAGCCAGGCCGAAGTAATCGTTAGCATTTTCAAAATTGAGAAATAAAATTAACTGTTTAAAGCTGCCACAGGTCATCCTGTGGCAGGTTCACAAGCCAGTGCATTCTGGTGGGACAGATTAATATCTGATGCTGTGGGCTGACCCTTCCGGACAGGGATGCTGAGAGCCACTGAATTAACTGGGTCTGTTTGGCTGCATGAGGTGGAGTCAGGCTCTTGTGAGTAATGGTCGGTGATGTAAGACTCTCACTGCACAGATGACATGACTAAAGCTCTCTCTTCAGCCTTTTTTCTCAGAGATCAACGCACAGGGCGGGGTCGAGACTGGTGGCCAAAGTGACCTGGTCCCACTGCTGCTTAGCTGTGGGAAGGACAAGAGACAGAGGACAAGAGCGGTTCCACAGCTGCATTTAGAAGTTCAGTGCTTGGGCCAGTTGTGCCTGAGTTCAGACTTGCTGTTGATGCTCTGGCTATTTCGTGAAATTGTCGTATGTTTCTGTCTCTCAGACAGTATTTACACCAGTGGTTCATGAAAGGTATTTCTCTGTCAAGGAAATAAATTGTTAAGTTCTGGTTCTTGTTTTATTAGATGAATGAAGCCTTTTAGTAAGAAGAAAAACATCTATCAGTTTCTCTACAAGCTTGGGCTAATGGAATCTAAAGACTTAAAGGTATTGATAGAATTCTTACTCTTGCTCTAAAGTGTGCATGTAGATATAGTTCTGTGTATATATACGTATCTACACACATGGCTGCTTTTATAGTGTCTTTTCTCAACAAACTTTTCTTCTGAAAACTTTACAATAAAGTTTGTTTTAATTATGCAAACACCAGTTTTTTCCAGAGAAGTAAGCAAATGTTATATGTCCTTCTGTTACAAAAAAAATAAATCCAGTCTTCCCACACACGCATATTTCACACATTCTGGCTACCTTAGAAAGTATGTCGGAAATATTTACAAGACACTCAGAGCGTGGAAACACTACGTGAAGACTGTATCCTCATCAGAAGCCTGACTGAACTCTGAACTTTGGGGGGAAGTTATCCTAGAGCTCACGGCTTTTGCAAGATTAGGGAAAGAAACATTTATTTGGTTCTATGGAAGATAGTCTTCTTAGTAGGTAGATTCCACACAAATTACCCGCGTTGGAACCGGTAAAGCCTAACGCTTACGATCCCGCACTGTCCTGTTTCACTCTTGATAAAATACTTAGGAAATTTTTCCAGTGGAAACCAGTGAACTTTTTTAACAGCTTTGGGAATTTTTTTGTACGCTAGTTTTTAAAATGCAGTGTCTACGCGTCAAACAAATTATGGCTTGAGGTTTTCCAGAAGTCACCTTTTAAAAGTGTTTGTACACATTTTAACACTTTGACCTTTTCTATTTTGGTTTTGTATATTTTTATGTGTACACAGTGTACAGATTTTTTTTCCTGTAAATAAAACACATTTTCATTTGTCTAGAAGTTTCTCTGTTTGAATGTATAGAATTTGCACAAACAAAGGAGCCCGGGGCGTAATAATGGGTCTTTCCTGGAAAAACCTGGTGCAAAGCTGAGATCTAACGGAAGCTGCAGAAGGAGTGACGCCTTCAGACGCTGATGTGGACAACGGGCCTGGAACAGAGATGGGGTCGGTGTTCCATGCTCAGGGGCCGTCGGGCGCAGGGGAGCGGCCTGGCTGAAATCCAGCAGGAAAGACATATTTAGGCTCCAGGTCCTGGTGCTGGCTCAGCAGCCCAGCGCTTTTATTAACTGATTGCCTTGGGGGGTACTTCCAGTGTGACAGTGCTTTCAGTTTTGGAGAACACAAGTAAGTAATCAGAGAGGAGCCTGGGGACAGGGAATCCACCTCACCCACAGCCAGCTCACGTTAGCCTGGTGTTTCCATACTGTCCGCGTTAGGGGAAGTCAATTAGGCTCTGGAAAGAAACTTCCAAACGTGTGTACTTTCTGGTTAGAATGTGAAGGGGTCCTCGAAGGGCAGCGTCCGAGTTTGATGTCAGGACTGGTGTGGGTGGCTGAGGACGTGGTCCCCTTTGACGGTTGTGCTGAATCAGACAGGGCTCGCGCACCTTGGCCATGGTTTTCCTTTCCCTGCAAGATGACTGCCTGCTTCCAGACAATTAAAATGCACGCCTGGTTCTCAGGGCCCTGATTTGGAAGGACCAGGGGTGGAGCCCCCGAAGGATGCTGGGATGTGGCTGCTGGGAACCCAGGTGCGTACCCAGGGAGAAGCGGGTGCGAGGGAGGAGGTGGGCGAAGAACAGGGGAGACAGGACTCGTGAGGACTGGAGGCACACGGAGGGGCAGCCCTGGGCACTCCGTGCTGTGCTCACGAAACCCCAGGTACACAGAATCTAGCAGGACAGCGGCCCTCTGGCACCAAAGATCTGCTGCCCCTTCATTGGAGCAGGGGTTGGCCAACTGCAGCTCACAGCCTGCTTTTGTCAGTAAAGTTTTATTGGCCCTCAGGCACGCTCGTTTGTCTACATCTTGTCCATGCTACTACGTGTGAAAGTGGAGAATTTGCAACAGAGAGCTTATAGCCCACCACTCCTGAACTGTCTCTTACCCAGTCCCTTACAGAAAGGGTCTGCAGAGCACCGAGGGGGTTTTGGGTTTTGTTTGTTCATTTCTGCTGGCTGGAGAGGACAAGGCTCTGCCCTCAGGAGACCACCCAGACGGGATCAGACTCACGGGAGGAAGGCCAGCTGCCTTAGGGGTTTGCCTCTTAAATACTTAATTCCTCTCAACAATATTTAATACCCCTGCACACAAAGTGGAGTGACCATTAATCAGTGGCTCTGTGACACTCACTCAGTGTCTAGACCTGAATAAAGACTGTGTCCTTCAAACCCCACGTCTAGTCCTTGGGCAGGAGGGGCTGATCAGCCAGGGGGTGCGGGAAGCATGTGGTCATTCTTCATGAGCCGTTGCCGGGGCTGATGGGAGGATGTTTCCAAGTGGACCACAGAACGTTGCTGCATCATCTTGGATAAACACCTCAAACTTCTAAAGTGTAATCTCTTCAGGGCGACTGCACTTAACGGGGAAACTGTCACGGGTGTGAAAATTGCACAGGCATCTGCCGCGCACAGTTTAACCAAACAATTTCCAGCCCGGTCTTTACAGTGGCATTTTTAACACCTTCACAAAGCAACACCATGAAAGAAGGACCAGTCTAACACCTGCTCAGAAAGACAGCCTGTTCTTCTAACAAAAGCACAGCAAGAAGCAGATTCCGTGAGTTAATATGATGCAGAGATAGACAAAAATGCCTGGAGTCACGAAGACAACAAAGTCACTACATGACATAGAGAACCAGTTGGATTCCTCAGTCAAGAAAGAAATAGAAATTATTCACCTGGGAAAGGTTTGTTTATTCAGAGACCAGAGGAAGTATATGTATTCTTTGTTTTCTTCCTTTCTTTTTCCTTCAAGTTAAGGATTCCTGCACTTAGGTAGCATTTCAAAACAGCTGATGATATAGGTCAGTACTTTAATGTTCAGTCAACAAGGGAAAAAGAACAGAAGAGAGAAAGTGGCAGTGGCTCTTACAGGCTGCTCCCCACACATTCAAATTCCCAAAGGGAACTGGCTCTAAATCCCAAAGAAATTTACCAAAATGAGTGTGAAACAGAAATTGACACAGCGTTGTAAACTGACTATACTTCAATTAAAAACAATCGTAAAAGGGAGGGGGATGAGTGTGAAAAGGAAAGTTCGATTAAGTGGGAAATGCTCTTCCTAAAACGAAAAACAAAAAACTGACTCTTCTGTGGAGAACAATCACATTAAAAGAGGATTTACAGGTAAGAGTGATTGTTCTCAAAGCTGAGGTGACCAGAACTACTCAGTGTCCCAAAACAAAAGTCAGCGGGCATTGCCAACTTCATCCCTTAGAGACGAGAGAGTTTTTAGAAACCACAGTTCTACCCGTTACTGGATAAAATTCGACATGCCTCAGAGCGCACTAAAAGGTTGTCTTCACACAGTGGGAAGCCGGTAGAGACCCAGAAGCAAAGAAGACACCAGAAGGAGGTTGTCATCCTTTCTGTGGCCTTACCCAGAGTGAAAGTCTCCAGATGGACTCGAAGATCGTCTCGGCCAACCCCTGCGCCACTCGGAAGCTTTCCGGCTGTGATGGAGGGAGTGGAGGTGAGTGGAGGAGGGAGACAGGGGAGAAGTCCGTTTCCAGTTTTGAGCAGGCACCGCGGTCCCCACTGCTCTGTCATTCCTCCAAGAAGTTGTGAAATCGGGGTCAATTACAGGAAAAATAAGTCCTTTTCCCCAGCACATTCTAGATTTTCATTAGCTCTGTTAATTTAGAACATTCCCTACCAATCTAGACTGCCTGGGCCAGCAGCCAGAAGGGGCAGCGCTGTGTCTTCAGGAGGAGACTTTCTCTGGGGACACTCCAGACAATGTTTGGGGACACGGTCTCGAGCCAGTACGTGGAACGTCAAACAGGCTTGGGCAAGTCCCTTCTTCTGAAGTCCAGGCTCTTAGCCGGTCCCTCATCCACCCCCCATCCACTGGGCCTGTAGCTGCTGCTAAACTCAGTATTGCAGCATGATGGCTGGTCACCTGCCAGTGAGCAGAGAGAGGGAAGTACATCCGCATGGTGGGTGGCGGAGACCACACAGGTGAGACGGCCAGGGGTCAGCCCGGAAGACAGAAGCCACTCTGGGTAATTGAGAGGGAGGAACTCAAGTCAGTGCAGCAGTTACGCAGGAGGTAAAAGGGCTGAGAGCCTGAAGAGTGGCGAGTAGGGCAAGCCAGGGGTCTGTCCCTCCTCGGGCCAGAGGGACAGGGGATGGGGTCTTTTTTCCTGTTGGAACACCTGGCACAGGGGGTCCCTGGCATTCATGTCTGAGCATCCGAAGAAGTGGCCCCGCTGACTCAGGTGGGACACCTCAACGGAAGAAGCTGTAAAAAGTCTCAGCACAGTCCTGAATTTTCCACTTCGTTTCCCTTTAACTGATCAACAGGCGTTTCTAGAGATTTTCAATTCATTTACTTCCAATTGCTAGTTTAAACTCACACCCTTCATAATTTCTAGTTTCTCATCAATCTGAAATAATGAGTTGATATGATTCATGTACTTTCCTAAATGTATTCCTGAGATAACTAGGGCGTGAGATGCTCTTGGAACCCTTTCACATCCGCCCTTTCCATGCCCGTCAGGGCAGGGGGGTGACGCCTGCAGGTGTGAACCCACCACCGTCGGCTTCTGGTCCAGCAGGTGCCTCCTTACGGCCATTTCCCTGTAGGAGGCTTCTTTGTGTCCAGAGCTTGCTTTCGTAAGACTTTTCTTTGCGATTCAGGATTTCCCAAAGAAATTCATCCTTCCTGGGACTTGCTAAGCCCTCTCCATGTGCAGACCCAAATCTCCCTTTTCTCTCCTGGAATGCTTGCATCCTCGTGTCAGACTTCCAGCCAGGTCCTTCCAATCACCTTTTTGCTCACAGTTTCCATGTCTTTGTGTTTTTGCTTTGTTTTTGACATATGACTATTCTCTCCTGCATTTTATGAAATAAATTATTTAAATTTAAAAAACCATGCATCTTAGCTCGAGAAATTTCCCTTTTGACCTAATCACACCCCCTTAATTTCTCCTGTTACACTTTGTTGTCTCATTGCTGTGACTCCTTTACCCCCTACATTTCAGGTTATTCCAGCCCCTGGGGGAGAAGCCCCTGCCTGGGACCCAGGCTCCTTGGTCGCCCCTCCAGGCTTCCGGGCCCAGAAGAGCTAGAACAGATCCCACCTGTGGGCTCTCATCCAGGGGTCCCTGGCTGAGGCCTGGCCCCTGTGCTCTGTCCTGCCCCCACTGCTGGCCTGTCCCCACTGCTGGCCTGCCCTGGCCACAGTCTGGCCCTGACGGCACAGGTGAGGAGTTTGGAGATGGAGGGGCCCAGGGATGAGGACTCGGGCACGTCCGCATCTAATTCTGCACTTCTCCGACCCAGCGCCCTGATGGTGCAGCTAATTTTGCTGTTCAGACTCACTGACAACACAGCTGCTAACTAGATCTCATGCTGAAAAATTCTGTCTTGAAAAGCCCCGAACGCCTTCAGATTTCCCAGCCTCACATCAAAGTCGCCAGCCCGTTCTAATTAACGGCTGGGCTTTTTCGGAGACGGAATGAAATGAGCTACTTGAGGTCTTTTTCATGTTCTCCCGAGCATAAATCAGCCGCTCAGCCCACCTGGACCATCCGAGTCAAACAGACCAAACCTCACATCCCAAACCAGCCACCAAGCGCTTGGGAAACAGAGAAGGGAAAGGGGTTTGCCTTCAGGGACCGGCGACATACAGTTTGAGGAATTCATGCAATTTCCTCCATTTCTCCTCTGTTTTCTGAAGGCTTTTTTTTTTTTTTCGCTTCCTCCTTCAATATAGAAAGGCTGAGTAACAGCTGTTTCATCTCTGGCTCTTATAAATTGGAAATGGATTTTTAGTAACGCAGCAAAATTCCACACCATGAAACTCGATAAAGGCCACAGACTGTGTTAGAGGGCTCTGACCTGTTTAAGGGAAGCACTGAGGACACAGGCCGGTAGAGAGAGGGCAGGACCACCTGCCTGTCCTTCTGGGGAGGGACTCGGGCGGAGGTAGCCCAGGAAATACCTGCGCTTGGAACAGGTGCTTTCCAGGATCCAGATCCTTGATGTTGGGCGTGAAGCCGGCTGAGCTTTGCCCCCGAGGGAGGCATTACCTTGTTTACTGGTTGTGGACAAATCTGTCCTTGGTTCAGAGGGAAACCTTGCACCTTGCAGAGGCGTTCACCACCAGACAGTCCAGAGCAATGGCCGTCAACGCCTCCTCTTGCAAGATGTGAGAAACAGACCCAGGAAGGGGTCTCTCCCAATACCCACTTAAATGTTACTCATCACTTAAAAAACATTCCCTTGACACCCTGTCTCCTTCGGTCACTGCCCTTTACTCTCCTTCCTTCTGCAGCTGCGTGTCCCCGAGTTTCCACTTGTCACCATGCAGTCACTCCCCACGCCATTGCATCTTGACTTTCACCACTGCTCCTGAATCCCGGGGACCCTTTGCCAGTCTCATCCGAGCTGTATGCTCAGCGACTTTCACACTCACGATGCCTCCTTCCTTCTGGAAGCTCTCTCTTCCCCTGGCTTCTGGAATTACAGGGCTGCACCTTCCTTCCTGACTGTCTGGTTGCCCCTCCTTAGTCTGCTGGCTGGTTCCTCCATGTCTCTGTTTTAACACGGGATTCCTCTAATGCTGGACTTCTCTCACAACTCCACACTCCATCCCTGGGTGATTTTACCCACTCCCACATCATCGCCATTGTCTCGGGGGTATTTCTTCCTGTCTTCATCTCTAACCTAAATCCCCTTTTGCCTTATTCAGTTTATTCAATATATTCAATTGCCTTCTTGGCTTTGCCACTGTACAGCTTTAACAGATCAAAAACTGAACCCAAGAACTCTTTTACAAATGTGTTCTGCCTCTAGGGAGCCTCATCTTGGTAAACAGAATCATCCCCTGGGTTGATTTAAGTAAAAAACAGATGCCCCTTCTGTGAGACACTTTATTCCCATCATTGGAAATTTTTCATGACAAATTAATTTTATAAAGACAAGACACTACCTCCACCAGCTGGAAAACTCTTGCCATAAAAATAAGAATCCATGCTGTCAGTGGTATGAATGGCATTCCTTAGAAGCATCACCAGCACTCAGCGAAACATACCTGGTCACCCTGATGGACTGAAATACAGGGGGTTTCCCTCTTAAGATGTCCTGCAGCATGTTAGCCGGGCGTTGGCTCTGAACATTTACTTGGCAGAGACAAATAATTAAACCACTGTCAGACGCTTTCATGTTTAAAAAAAGAAAAAAGATAAATAACAAGTTCATGCTGTGTATTCAATATCTGGTAGTAACTTATGCTGAAAAAGAATATGAAAATAAATATATGTATGTTCATGTATGACTGAAGCATTATGCTGTACACCAGAACTTGACACAACATTGTAAACTGACTATACTTCAATAAAAATATATATATATGTACACAAAAGGGGGGGAAGAATATAAGAAAAACGGGATATTGTAAAATCAGGCCTTTGAACTCCTCCGCAAGTGAAAAGGACCAGTGCCCGACATGCTTTTCACTGTGAAATTCAGCACGAAGAAAATGAGCGGTCTCTGAGAATCCGGGTTTTCCTTTCTCTCCTTTCCCAGCCTGTCTCTTTAAGATGTAAACGTGACACTGCAAACACAAAGTCAACTCTAAAAAATACAATAGAAAGAGAGAGGCTGAAATGTTCCAGGCTAAGAGAACGGTAGATGGATGGCTGTGGTGATGCGGCTGTAAGAAGCTGATTAAAAGGCAGCATC